TATATATATTTATAATTAACTTCTAAATTGGTTATACTTTACTAGTTAATTATTAGTAATAATAATTTATTAGTAATAAACTAACACAGGTAGCCAGCTTCCTAGCAGCATCAGAAAGTCAAAGACCAAAACAAGCCCCCACTGTGTACCCAACTCCCTTCCAGCTCACAATGCCAGCCGTGTGCCCAGAAGCAAAGCTCCAGCTGTTACCGTACGGTACCTTCCAGCTCACCCAAAGTGGAGTTGGCAGAAATAACCCAAACATCCCACCAGAACAAGGTCATACCTCACCTACCTGGTTAATGAGTTCTCCAGGCACGCTATTGCTCTGCAGCATCATCTATCAACACCTTCTTGTACTGGCCATGGCCCGTTGCGACAAATTTATACTTCTTGCCAGAAGGAGTGGACTGAACAGGAGAGAAGGAAAGAGCCAAGGTCAGAATTTTTCTCTCTCAAATAGGCAGTCAAGTTCAAATAACTAAAGCCAGAGGAACACGTGATATGGTTGACCATAATCCTGGTGGGCTTGGAGACAGCCTACTCTGTACTCCTTCCTTATCCCTTCCACATCAACTCTTTACACAGACTGACCACCACGTTCTATAAGCACAAGGTAACACACCAGGCATGGGATGTGCAACAGGAGAGGGAACATGCAACACCAGGGAGGGAGGACTCATCTAAGAGTCCCAGCCCCTCAAGCCAAGGCTGGTTTCACCCATGGTAAGAGCCAGTTTCGTTTGCCACATGCTGGCAGCAGTACCAACCTCCAAACAGAGAAGATACTCTGATCCTCCTCTCCCAACCTGGGCAGGTTGAGCAGCAGCAGCTTACTGCATTTTAAGAGACATTCCCACAAATGTACCAGTAGGCACAAAACCCCAAGTGCTGATACTGTCTTAGGTCCAGTTCCACTTAGTTTTGCCCATTTTCTTTACTCTCAAGATTAAAAAGCATAACAATGGCCAAGTAACTCACATCTACAGTTCAATTTTAGCCCAGAAGGTTGGAGCTCTCAACCCACAGCCCAAGAACTACATGCTATTCAAGAGACCCTTCATTACTACTGGTTATAAACTGGTTTTTGCCCCCATTTTTACTAGGGCTGAAGCAACAGTAGCTCACTGTTAGGAAAAGCTCTTAGATATGCAATTGCATGGATAGATACAGCCCTTGTCCCCAACACCACCATCTTATCATAGAACGGTTTGGGTCGGAAGGGACCTTAAAGCTCATCCAGGTCCAACCCCCCTGCCAGCAGCAGGGACACCTTCCACTAGACCAGGTTGCTCAAAGCCTCATCCAACCTGGCCTTCAACACTTCCAGGGAGGAGCATCCACAACTTCCTTGGGCAACCTGTTCCAGTGTCTGACCACCCTCACAGTGAAGAACTTCTTCCTAATATCTCATCTAAACCTCCCCTCTTTCAGCTTAAAGCCATTTCCCCTTGTTCTGTCACTAACTGCCTTATGAAAAGTCCCTCCCCAGCTTTCTTGTAGCCCCTTCAGGTATTGGGAGGCCGCTGTAAGATCTCCCCGGAGCCTTCTCTTCTCCAGGCTGAACAGCCCCAACTCTTTCACAGCCTGTCTTCATAGGAGATGTGCTACAGCCCTCAGATCATCCTGGTGGCCTCCTCTGGACTTGTTCTAGCTGCTCCAGGTCTCTCTTGTGATGGGGGCTCCTTCCAACCCAGCTAAGAGCTCTTTTTCACAGCATAGCAAGCGCTCTCATACTCAGACAGACACTAACTCACCTTGATGTTGGTCTCAGGTTTGGGATTGCCCTTCTGTTCCCAAAGGCTTCTTTTGCTCACGATGTCTCCAGCCACGATATCCTGAGAAGATGATGTTCTCATCACCCTTCACTGCTAACGCTGCTGAACACGCCTCGTTCACGTCCCTTTCAAACCCACACATCCGACCTCCTTTTTTATTTATAATATCACATCATCTGACCCATGACAGCTGCAGCTAAAACCCATGACTGTGAAAAGTTCTTCCTAGTGTAGCCCATGTTTTCTCCTCTCTCACTCTCTTCCACAAAAGCTGGGATCAGAGCTCCAAGATGTTTATTTTCTTAGGTTTGTTAGTTATTTAGGACATGTTAACATCAAGGCTTTTTTTTATGTGGAAGGAATTTTGCTCACATAAACACAGATTTGCAACGCACGTGTTGGAGTCAAGCCTTGCTCACAAGGACCACAAAGTGAAATTAAGAGCCATACACAATACTCTCTACATTTTCCAATTTTACAAGATTTATCATCTTGGTACAAGATCCAACTTTGTGTTCAACAACTGGAGCTCAGTCCTAGTCCCTGCAGAACACATTCACATTTTCCACACCAGCTGAATTTATTCCCATTTCAAAGGAGAGCCTCAACCAGCATCACAGAGGCTTTCCTAGCTGCAGCACCAAGGAACGGTTTGGGACCCTAGCACAGATCATAGAATCACAGACTGGTTTGGGTTGGAAAGGACCTTAAAGTTCATCCAGTCCCACCCCCCCTGCCAGCAGCAGGGACACCTTCCACTAGACCAGGTTGCTCAAAGCCTCATCCAGCCTGGCCTTCAACACTTCCAGGGAGGAGCAGCCACAGCTTCTCTGGGCAACCAGATGAAGTGAAGCTCTGAGGTACAAGGCCTTGGACATTGATGATGAAGACTGGATTGCTAACTTAGATACCTTTAGAGCTGGTGGGCACCACCAACAAGCCACACCAAGACGTTAATACAAGTGCCTTGCATGTTGTACCCAGAGGCCAGCCCCTCTCCCCTGTGCCAGCACAGCAAGTCCTGTGAATGCCATACCTTACAGGGTGTGGACTTCACAGCAGACTGAGCTGCTACCTCTCCAGTCTCCCAGAGGCTTTTCGTGCTGGCTACCATCATACTTGTGGTGGGAAGGTCAAGAGAGGGCTGTCGGACAGGTTTTGGAGCCTTTGCGGATGTCTGGAAAATAAATGGAGAAAGATCACCATTGGGGAGGATGTTTGTTTGTTTTTTTTTCTCCCCTGTAATTGGAGGTCCTCAGGGATGAGGGGTCATAAAAAGAGACTTCTAGGGTCTTGCTAGGTCCTGCTAGATGCTCCCACCCTTTAAGCAAGGGAGCAAGGATGGGCCAGCTTGCTAAAGAAACCTACAGTATGCTGTGAAAGGAGACAGAGACAGGAGAAAGGGCTGCTCCCATCCAAGGGGAGATGACTGTCACCTCTCAGATGGTGAGACTAAGAGGCATGGTGGGAGAGCAACACCTGGCAAAGAGGGCTCCTTGGAGGGTGGGGACAGAGAGACAACACAGCAGCCCACCTCAATGGCCTGTGTGTACTGCTCCAGTCTGTCATCGATCTTCGACACAGGGAGGGGAGGCTGGGTCTTCTTTATGCTGTTACTGGAGAAGCAAGAAGAGGGTTAAGGTGATCCCCCAGGACCTCAGGCAGAAGGAAGGACTCTCAGGGCCACAGGTAGCCTGTCACTGCTGCCCATACCCACAGCAGGACCCTCTGGCATCCTCAGTTTGGAGGAAGGGACCTTCTTTACCCCAAGGCCCACAT